TTTTTTTTTTTTTTTTTTTTTTTTTTTTTTTTTTTTTACTTTTAAACCATGTAAATCAGCCAATATAATTCACCTGCTGGTTATTTAAACTACTTTAGGTGCCAGGTGGCAGCTGGGGGCAGTGGAGTCACTTTAGAATGGTTGTCAGGAGAGCCAGGCCCTAGTTTGTGCTCCTTCCCTAGCTCGTTGGCCGGCCTGAAGCGAGCAACCTCTCCACTCAGGGCTGACCCGGGAGAGGTCAGAGGAGCTCTGACATCCCGAGATATTAAGTGCAGTTTTCCTTACACATTTCCTAAGTCATCTCTCTGCCTCCTCCTTTCCTCTGCAGCTCACCAAAAGCTCAGAGGAGAGGACAGACAATTGAAGGAAATGAAATTGCAGGACGACTTTTATAGGGCTCCCACTGAATCATTGTATATTCCACCTCCAAAGCTAAAAATGATGAGTTTAATATCACACAGAGCAGTGCATCTTATATGTCTCAAAAGACAGCATATGCTACCCAGAAACTGGGAGCTCGGCAAGATGCAACGTTTCACTCCAGCTCAGAGGCAAATGAAATGACAGTCATCAGGCCCACATTCTAGAAGCAGCATGGTTTTCATTTGGCTTTAACTTCATTTGAAAGTGTCCCAAGGAGGGAGAATCCTTCTAAGCATGGACTTTTCTTCTTTCCCAAGACCACTCACTAGAAAAGGGATAGACTGGTGGCCAGGTTTTGCCTTGGCTGTTTCCGGCACTGGTCGTGGATGATGCTAAATGAACTGTGCCTGGAGTCCAGAGACCTGGGTTTCAATCCTGTTTATGCCATGAGTTTGGACAAGTCTCTTTCCCATTTGGGGCCTCTGTAACTCTGAGGAAGTATTGATAGACATAACTTGGACTGATGTATAGGAAAGCAAGGCTGGATTTGAGGGACATTGAAGATCTAAGGACCTAAAAAGTCCTCAGTTCCTGCCAGTCCATTACCATGTCTGGAGTAATCTCTCTGGGGTTGTTTTGTTCAGTCCTTCTGCACACAGCTACTGAGCATTCTTCATGCACAGACAATCCCCCTACCTCCAGGGAGCTCATAGATGGGAATGTTAACAAATAATAACATATCAAGCTAGGAAGTGCCTTAAGTATGTGTAAGTAGAGAGCAGAAAAAGGCTAGTCACAATCATCTTTTAGATTACAAGGCAGTTTTATTTCCACGCACTGTTTATATCCCATTGGGAAGTAGGTATGGCATCATGAAATGAGGTTAAGAATTAACTAGGATGTCATAGGTAAAGCTCCCAGAATGGTGCCTGGCATGCATTAAATACATAGTAAATGATAGTAGTTATTATTTCAGTGTTTGATTCCCAACTCTCTGAGGTTGGAATTAAAATAATCACTTTGCAAATAAGAAATCTGAGGCTCAAAGTAGGGCCATGATTTACCCTGGAACCCCTCAGCTAGAAATGGCCCAGTCAGGGCAAAACCATAAGCAGGCCCAATGTAAATACAATTATGTTGCCTGAAGGTATTTCTAATTAATCAGAGAAACAAATTCTGCTGATGCGTTTAGTCATGAATGTATTAACTGTTCAAGACTTAACCCAACAAAAATCTCACTTCTTTGGAAGAACTCTAAAAAAGGATGTTAATGGTAAGTGCTCTCAGACCCGAGGGCAGATGGTGTTAAAAGTGAGCAGAAATGGATCCTCCCTGGTTTCAGCCCCTCTGATCACATTGCGAATGGCTGGGCCAGCTTGAAAGAAAGCCAGTGTGTGTGTGTGTGTGTGTGTGTGTGTGTGTGTGTCCCGCCCCGCCCCTGTAAGGTAAGCTCTGTGACCCCAGACTTCTCATTTGTTATCCTCTCTCTGCAGAAAACGAGCGTGGAGTTCTATATCGACATCCACGCCCACTCCACCATGATGAATGGCTTCATGTACGGCAACATCTTTGAGGATGAAGAGTGGTTCCAGAGGCAGGCCGTCTTTCCCAAGCTCCTCTGCCAGAACGCCGAGGACTTCTCCTACGTGAGTGCAGGGCCCTGGCCAGGCCCGGCCCCGCTCCGCCCGCCCCCTCCCCGCTCAGCTCAGTTTGCTTGACCATTTCGGGAGCGCCAGCCCTGTGCCAGGTAACAAGCTACTCCGTGCCCTCAGGCTGCTCCTCCCAGTCCCGAGGGAGACTGAAAGGGCAGCGGGTGCTCGGTTTGTCGGAGGAGCTGGCACGTGTTTAGCTGATCTGATTCCAACATTAAGAGAAGAAACTCACTGAGCGACTGAGCACCCCGCACACCCCGCAGACCCTGCCCCGGGTCGGCTTTCACCGCCTCGGATCCTTTAGTCGGAGCCTGGCATGGCTGTTGAAGGGGCTTATACGCCCACCATTGTCCCCTCCGCAAGGATGCTTTCTGTGCCTCAGTTTCTTGTCAGTATATGGTGGGCGACAATTTCCTGCCCTGCCTGTGTCATAGCTCCCTGGGAGGCCAAACGCAGTGACAGATGGGAAAGTACTTTGCAGGCGGGAAGGACCCCGCAGACTCCAGGAACTCGGTATTGCCCGCCTCTCGCCCAGGCCTGGGGAGGCTGGAGCCGCGGGTGGAATGATTGGCAGCAGCAAGCAATATTGGAAAAGGGCAGGCACAGAAGATATGGGCGGGAGTCAGCATGTGGCTGGGGACATGGGGGAGAGTTTTTGCAGATTTTCCTTTGTTTTAACACTAAATCTCTGAGGCCTGTTATTCCCTTGTGGCCAGAAGGGAGGGGGCGAGGCGGGGAGGCCCACAAAGGTCAGAGCAAGTTTTGAAGTTGATGAGCTCAATACTGGCCCGCCCATTGCTTCGGGCCTGCATGCTGGTGATGATACATTTCTCCAGGAGGTAAGATGCACTTTGAATCTCAGAATCTTTGAATGCCAGACCAGGAGAGGAATTGGGAGACTATTTAACCCAGTTTCCTCTTTACACCTAAGAGACACCTATGGCCCAGAGAGGCTGAGTATCTACAGCAAAATCCCTCAGCATCATGTTGTCGCAAATGGTCATATTTCATCTTTTTTATGGCTCAGTATGTGCCACATCACCTGTCAAAGGTTGTTTTCATGTCTTGGCTATTGTAAATAATGCTGCAATGAGCATAGGGTTACATATATCTTTACAAATAAGTGTTTTTAATTTTTTCAAGTAGATACCCAGAAGAGGAATTGCTGGACCATATGGTAGCTCTATTCTTAATTTTTTGAGGAACCTCCATGTTGTCGTCCATAGTGGCTGCACCAATTTACAATCCCAAGGGATTATTTTGAAGCCTAAATGAGATACTACTACAGCGGAAACAATATGGTTAAGTTGAAAGCACTGCCCAAACTTTAGTTCTGATTATCATCGTATTATAATTGCTTTTTGTTCTATGTCCACATTTCCTTGTTCCATCTGTCTCCCTTCAAATTTTCACAAATACAGGGGTGGGCAAAAGCAATGTGTCACATATGCATGACTGTAAACCTACTGTTGCCCACCCCTGCATTTATTAAATGGCAGTTACTGTGCCCCAAGAGCTCTGAGAGATGCTTTCATTTTAACTATGTTTGCTTATTGAATCAGTCATCATAACAACCCTGTGATGTGGGACTTACATCCCACTTTTCAGATTAGGAAGCCGAGGCCCAGAGGTATTTATTGTAAGATTTGCTCAAACTCTGAGAGCCAGCAGGCGTCCTGCCCTGACTCTCTGCTCCCTACTTGTCTCCCACAGTCCAGCACGTCCTTCAACCGGGACGCGGTGAAGGCGGGCACCGGCCGCCGCTTCCTGGGCGGGCTCCTGGACCACACTTCCTATTGCTACACCCTGGAGGTCTCCTTCTACAGCTACCTCGTCAGGGGCACCACGGAAGCTGTGCCCTACACTGAGGAAGCCTGTATCCTTGGCAAGTGCCCACCCTGCCCTGGGCCAGCCCATATCCAGGTCTGGCAGGATTTACTAGGCAGGTCAGGAATTTGGTCTCCAACTCAGGTGAAAGCTGAGCCTCTGGGGTGAGGGTGGAAGGAGACTGGTTCTGCTGGTGGCATCTTTGGATTGTCCTGCTTCCTTCTTGCCCTCTCACAGACACCCCTCTCTGTGCTCCCCTAACTCCTCTAATACATGCACAAGTCATATTCCGCCCGCACCTGCTGTGTTCTACCGTGATGTTGTGACTAAGAAGCTGGAGGGAGTTACCTGGTGGTAGATTTTGAGCATGTGCACCAAAGGGGATTTCGCAACCACTGTTCACAGTGAGATGCGGGTTTGTGCACCCGAGGCCTGCACTTAGCATGTGGCTGGTCTCTGATGTCAAATTTGAGGGGTTTTCCCATCCTTTCTCAGCACCTCTGACATGGTTTTGTGTTGGAAGTAAATGTATTTCTTAGTAGAATGCCTTCCCCCTTAGCCCAGGCCACAGTTTTCTCCCCTCAATGCCCAGTCCTTGTGCATCCCAAGTAAACGCACCATTAGCGCATGCAGGAATCATTGGAGGCTTCCAGGATAAAGTGCTGACCAAGAAGGCAGAGCCCCTGACTCGCAGAGCTTTTGATCTACTTAAGGAGACTGAAGACAAAAGAGGCAATTATAATATGTATGACAAGTTCTGTGGTGGAAGGATTCCAGAGGGCCACAGGAAACTTTCATTTAGTAAGTATGTGTTGAGTGTTTACTGTAAGCAAGGCAAAGCTCTAGGCACAGGGGATGTAACAGCGAACATACCAAAAACAAAAACGTCTTCACATGACCTTCCAAAAGAAGGTCAGGAAAGCCTTCCCAGTGGAAGTGACATGTAAGCTGAGTTTTTCAGATTGAGAAGAAATTCGCCAGATTGGGTTGGGGGGGTTGTTAAAGGGAGGACATTGCGGACGGAGAGGGGAGGAAGGTGTCTGCAGGAGCTGTGCGTGGCTCAGTGTGGCTGAAGGACTTCAGGTGCAAGAGATGAGACTGGAAGGACAGGCCATGAGGAATTTGAACTTGAACATGAAGGCAATGGGGAGCAATAAAAGGGTGTTAAATCGTGGAGGAAAGCCACTCTATTACGAGGTTGCTGTGACCATCCAGGTGGGAGGTGACTCAGGCCTAGATTCTGGTGGTGCCGTGGAGCATTTGGAAAGTGGAACTGAGAGACTTGCTAAGCAATTGGATGGGGTGTCAGTGATTGGAGGGAATTAAGGGTGAATAGAGAGGCTGCACATGAGCTGAGCAAGCCATGGTGCTGTAAGAACCGCCCGCCTTGTTCTCTTACCCAGGGGACAAGAAGGGAAACCTGAAGCTGCACCGGGAAGCTCAGGCCAGTTCAACATATACGAGTGTGATCTAACCGAGCTCCTGGTTGAAATGCACTTTTTAAAACCCTCCTCTCATAACAGAGGGAAACTTCAGGAAGACAGATTGTGGTCTTTGTTGGCTGCTGGCTCCGCGTCCCAATCAGAAAAAGAAATTACATGGTCTGATGGGAATGGCAATACTGTCTGGGAGGAAGTGTCCTCTAGACTGAGAGTCAGGGACCCGGATCCTGATGACAACACCAACATCATCCCAGAGAGTGCCCTTCACAAGTCCTCTAACCTTGCTAAGGTGAACATAGTCACCTTCACAGGGACCAAGGACCTTCCACTCTTCAGCCCCTGCTATGGGAATTAAATAGAGATACTCATGAAAATGTGAGAAGTTATTCAAAGAGAACAGACTTTGAATTCAGATGCCAGTGCTGGAGATCTGTTGACGGGGGCAGGTGCTTCTGCTCAGACTGGCTGTTTACAGCTTCGTCCTCTGTCCCTGGTGATCTGACAATCCTCCTCTGCTGGGGCATTACACCCCTCCAATGACCTCTTGTCTGAAGATGAGCTAAAGGTTGCAGAACTGGTTGTCTGGTTTCCCTTTCCAAGTCCTGCATGGTGGTTTCATACTTCACTTTAAAATATGGTATCTGGCCCTGGCTGGGTAGCTTGGTTGGTTAGAGCATTGTCCTGATACACCAAGGTTGCAGGTTCGATCCCTGGTCAGGGCACATACAAGAATTAACCAATGAATGCATAAATACGTGGAATGACAAATCAGTCTCTCTCTCTCTCTCTCCTCCTTCATCTGTCTCTGTAAAATAAATAAATAATTTTTTTTTTTTTAAATGTGGTATCTATAGGCTTGGGATCTCAGCTAAAACCAAGACTAAGTCCCATTTGAATAATGTGTTCCAATATCTAGCAGGTAGGATTGAGCATTATTGGTGATTGTTGGGTGTGGGGATAAGGGAAGATGCCCAGTTTTCGTGATTTAAACAACACGGTGGAGCCAATAACTTACATACAGACTATTGGAGAAAGGGGCTGAGGAAGGGGAGTGTTTTGAGCTTTGTTTGGGATGTGTTGAGAGCTGGGGGCTCATGTGATGTACAAATGGGGAAGTTTGGCAGGCAGATGGCTCTATGAGCCTGAAGTTGTGAAGTGAGCCTGGACTTTGGACAGGTTGATAACAGATTTTTCTACCAGGTACTATAGAGTCCTAATGAAGGAAGTGGCTTCTTGGTAGGCACAGTCAAGGTGGGCTTCCCCTTGATGAGCCGGTGAAAAGAATGCTGGACTGGGGGTCAGGATCCCAGGTCCAGAGTATCCTTTGCCCCTTGTCCCCATCATAAAGCCATGTGACCTTGGTTAAATCACTTCACCTCTCTCATTAAAGCCTGATACTAGATAGGCCTCAGTGAATGCCGATGAAGG